GCATAAACATGTGCCATTTTTTATTTCGTTTGAGCCACGCAACAGACACCACTATTCACTCACGCGTTACCGACTGACACTGACTGTATCCAACTGAATAAAATAATTGTAAAAACATCGTTCCAAATTCTTTCGCTTTTTTGTTTCCGATGCGATGAACCGATAAGGCGGATTATATCCGTTGTCGCCAAACACGAGCACATAATATTATTATTGAGACAGGGCGGTACTCAAACTTCCAAAGGGCTATAACTTTGTTACTTTAATTTTACCAGAAAAATGGTAAAGGAAAAAACATTTCTTTTGATCAGATCTACTCACTGTTAAAATAAATGACTCAACTTCGAAGTTACCCTGTATATATATAATTATGACAACTAAAGCCCAGCTAACATTGCTATATTACAGCATATGGCTCGGCACCTGTATTACGTATTTTGAAAAGTGGCATTATGTCGATTTTCTTTTACATTATATTGCTTCAGTTATCCATATTTGGCTCTGATCTGATGTAAAATCTGCTTCAGAGATGGTATTATTGGAGGTCTAAGCTGTAAGTTGTATAGTATAGCTAGAAGGAAACGACAGTGCATAGGTGCATAGTGAGGATTTGTGTGCTAATAATATGGTTTCTTGTCTCAAATACAAATTTCAAAAATGAGGAGAGATAAGAAAAGGTAAACCCTAGTTGGTGAAGGGACAGGCGAGAAAATATGCTACAGACAGGAATATTTATGAAACGGAAAAGGTTATTACATTATTTTTTATTTCCAGTCATTTAAATTTTATAGAAATTTATTTTGTGATGTCAATAGAAAATAAATATCAGCGCCTAGATGTGAAAAAAAAACGGGAAGATCGTAATGTATAACTTTGGACATAACCTGTCTTCAGAAAGAACAACATATACTAAATAACCCGTCGAGCACAGCTTATAGATATACTTCATTGGCAGTATATTTAGTGATAATTTTCTGACACAGCAAATGTCACTCATTTTGTACCCATGCAGACCAATACGCATAATCATCCAGGTGCGATCTTGCTATTCAACTAACTTTCTTTCTTTCACATCTCAGAGATAAACACTTCAGACTACTAGGATTCACAATACATATACGTGCTTCCTGCAAGTTAAGTCATTCTTTCACAGATGGCTCACAGCGATAATAGCGAGCAAACGTGGAATGAACTATTTGCACCCCAAAAAAAACTACCTAGTCTGCAAGATAACATTTTATTGTTTTTTTGACGTTTTATAGGTTTTTTACATAACAACGTATACATCTTCGTTACACTTGTCAGAATGTCTAATCAAAAGTGCCTCGAAACCAGGCAAGAATGACTGACGAAATTACATTACAGTAAATATGATTTGAATAATTGGGTATTCTGATAGCAGTTTATGAAAATAGATCCGAAATGTTAAAAAAGTGTAGTAATCCCATACTAAAACTATTGCCCGTTCAGAAGCTCCATTAGGAAGTTTCCTTAAAAAGTACGGCCCTCATAATATACTCATCCACACCTCACCGTGCCCTAATTGTGCCTATTGTGGATAATTTAAAACGCGTCACCGAGTGTAATGAAGTATTGTCATGTTGATGCACACTCCGCAATTAACATTCATACGAACGCCAAGTCTGTTATTGAGGAAGCTTGGCAGTGTTTCCCCACCAAGAATTATAAGAAGACAAAATGCAGACAATGGCGTCCCTGGGTAGTTATTACTTTTAATGTGATGATTTCTACGTGGCGCGCATTGACATTACGGATTTGTATGATGGATTTTTTGGTTGCCTCGTCCGGATGTCATTATCAATTTTCCTGGTTTCGATTCGTACCGTGCCTAAATTGTAAGATTTATAGGCTTAGATTGTCCGTGAACGGAATGAAACGTGTTTGGTCGTTCTGTCTGTTTGCACGTACACTGGGCGTCAACGTTAGTGCCTCCACTACTTTGAAGTTTTCTGTTGACTAAGGCAGGAAGTATCTTCGGAATAACATTTTGATTCGTTTTTTTTGCATAATTTTATTAAAAAAGGACCCCTTTTAACGAATCTGCATGCTGCCAGGCTCGAAATTGCGTCAAAAATGGTTTGAACAAAGTTTTTATTAAGTTGGGCTGCCTTCGCCACGGCTCAAGCAGCCCGGTCCACCCCTAAAAGAGAGTAGATCAGGGTTTCCCAACCTTTTTTTTTTTTTTGTTGATGCTCCCCGGACTATATCATATTTTCATGCGACCCTTTAGTTTTTCACTAAATACAAAAAAAACGCACAAAGACCTTTATTTTAATTCTAATAAAGAAACTTTAAAACTTTAAATAAACTAATAAATGTTTTTTATCGAAAAACTTGAATAAAACAAGAGTACGGACTAATGAGACACTTGAGATTGCAAGTTCTGTACCAGTTGGTTGATTCTAGGTTCCGTTTTTGCCAGAGCTATCATCCGATCGCTATCGACATCAAGACGATTTCTCTGTTAAGTTTTGATTAAAACTAGAGAAGAAACGCCTGTCTCACATAAGTAAGTTGAAGAAAAAGGAACTAGAATTCGTAAAGCAAGAGAGGCAAGTGTCAAATTCACAGGCAATCTTTTGATCCAAGATTTCTCCAATGTTAAAAGATGGAAGTCATCTTTCATGGATGAATCAGCCTTCATTTCTAGAAATTCTTCCCGAACTTTTTCTGGTAATTGTGGCACATCGACAACAACTGGATTTCTTGTCATGTGGCATACTGGTGACTCTGAATTGATGTCTCGATAGTATCGGCGAAATTGTCTTCCAGCGCTTGCAAATGAGTGTTTATGTCAGCTTTTGAATTTGCGTCCAGTATGTTATTTTTAATTGCGTCTAACAGCCGATAAAAAGATAACATTTTCAGAAGGCACTTTTTGACTCCAAAGTTGAAGCTTTGATATGAACCTCTGAATATAATCATAATTGCTTATTATAGTGTTGTTTCTGCCAGTTAAATAAGCCAACCTCCATTGAAATGTGTCATCTTTGAACATTGTCAAGGAATCGTGTTTTTCTCTGAACTCATGAAAAAGAATTACCTCTTCTTTCAATTCATAAACGCGAGATAACATGTTGCCTTTCTACAGCCAGCGTAGTTCTCTATGGAACAGAAGAACTTTGTAATCAGAATCGAGATCCTCGCAAAGTGAAGTAAATAACCGACTGTTCAAAGCGTTGCTCTTGAAGTAGTTTACAATCCTTATAGCCGAGTTCAAAGTCTGGCGTAATTTCTGTGGCAATTTTTTGGAAGCCAAAGCTTGCCGACGAATAACACAATGTGTACTAACCATTGCGGGACTTTTCTCCTTGAGCTTGTTACCTAAGCCCGATCGTACACCTATCATTGCAGGTGCGCCATCTGTGCAAAGTCCAATGAGTTTCTTCCAATCAAAATATTTTTTTTCAACAAAATTTGATATTGAATTAAATATATCTTCAGATGTAGTACCTGCTGTCAAAGATTGGGAGTACAAAATCTCTTTTTGAATGATATATCCGCCGATGTACCGAACAAACTATACTAGTGACATTTAAATCCGAACACCCAGTTTAAATGGTTTTATTTTAATAAAATTTTGTGTAAGTACTTAATGAAGCATAATAAGTAAATGATAAAAATTTCAAAATGATTGCACTGCTTTAAAGCCCTTTGACCTTTAATAATGTGTGAATGCACCCTGATGTGCTACGCATTCTCCAACGCGCCTAGGCATGCTTCTGATCAGGTGGTCAATGTCCTCCGGTAGTATCTCATTCCAGGCAACCACCAACTCCTCTCGAAGTGCTTCTAGAGTCTGAGGAGGACGTTGCAAATTGAGCAATCTCCTACCCATCATATCCCACACGTGCTCAATTTGGGATAAGTCGGGAGATCTTGGTGGCCATGGTAACAATGTGACATCATTATGTTGAAAGAAGTCTATTGTGACTCTTGCAACATGTGGTCGGGCATTATCTTGTTGGAAAGTTTGATCTGCCAGGGTGTCAAGATAGGGTAAGAGATGGGGTTCTAGAACTTCGTGGATATAACGCTGCGCGTTCATGTTACCTCTGATGAAGATTAAAGGTGACCTGGAACCATAAGCTATAGCACCCCAAACCATAACTCCAACAGTGTGATGAACATGTCTTTCAACAAAAAACTGTGGGTTCCTCCTTTCACCACGTCGCCTTCTAACCCTGGCACGACCATCGTGCATGCCTAAACAAAATCGAGATTCGTCACTAAAGACAATACTGTTCCATTCCTGATCCCAGAGTGACCGTTGTCTGCACCACTTAAGGCGATTACGTCGGTGTAAGGGTTAGAAGGCGGCGTGGTGAAAGGAGGAATCCACAGTTTTTGTTGAAAGACATGTTCATTACACTGTTATAGCTTATGGTTCCAGGTCACCTTTAATCTTCATCATAGGTAACATGAACGCGCAGCGTTATATCCACGAAGTTCTAGAACCCCATCTTTTACCCTATCTTGACACCCAACTTTCCAACAAGATAATGCCCGACCACATGTTGCAAGAGTCACAATAGACTTCTTTCAACATAATGATGTCACATTGTTACCATGGCCACCAAGATCTCCCGACTTATCCCCAATTGAGCACGTGTGGGATATGATGGGTAGGAGATTGCTCAATTTGTAACGTCCTCCTCAGACTCTAGAAGCACTTCGAGAGGAGTTGGTGGTTGCCTGGAATGAGATACCACAGGAGGACATTGACCACCTGATCAGAAGCATGCCTAGGCGTGTTGGAGAATGCGTAGCACATCAGGGTGCATCCACACATTATTAAAGGTCAAAGGGCTTTAAAGCAGTGCAATCATTTTGAAATTTTTATCATTTACTTATTATGCTTCATTAAGTATTTATACAAAATTTTATTAAAATAAAACCATTTAAACTGGGTGTTCGGATTTATATGTCACTTAGTACGTATATATTAACTGTGTCACAATTAACGATGTCGGTGGATTCATCGCAACTAATGGCAAAAAATAGCGATAATTGTACTTTTTTAATTATTTCTGACTTTATGTCTGCTGTCATCGATTCTACGCTTGGCTGTGTTATTCGAAAGAGAAATAGACTTCATTTTTTGCTGTGCTTCTTCTCCCAAAATTATCTGCGTGGCTTTTAGGACACATGGTTTTATTAATTCTTCACCGATAGTATGACGTTTCTTTTGCTTTGCTATCATAAAAGCTATTTCAAATGAAGCTTTGAGATGCTGCGATACACCTGTGTGATAACTTCCCGATTGATCCAGTCTCATCCGCTTGAGTGATTCTGCTTTAGAAGAAAAAAACTATTTCGTCTTCAAAACCAGAGTTGGATGTTGTTGCTTCAAATGCCTTTCAAGGCGATTGGGCCTCATGTTATCATTACTTAAAACCTTCATACATATCACACACTGAGGCAATTGTAACTTGTCTTTTTCTATGAAGGTAAATCCAAGCTTAACGTACCTAATCTTCGGAAAACTTTCTTTATTCCGCTACCATTTTGAAACTATAACAATAAAACAAATAAGTAATAAATAAATAAATAATAAAATATCCACATGTAATTACTAATTATATGCCCATTATTTTATCTTAATAACGTAGTGTATTCAACAGTATATAGGCCATCGGGAGATTTATATTTTTGTAGGCAGGTTGACGTTATAATAATAATAATTTTAAGTACATTTGGAATCAATACAAGGTACTTGAAGTTCATCGTTTCAAAACTATTTCGCCTCGTTGATGTGATTGTGATGTAAAAAAGGCCCAATGGCCGATCTATGAACGCGTATGCGTATCCACTCAATCAACAATTTAGTAAATCAATTAAAAATGGTAACTGAAGTTTGTAAATACACAAACTTACCTTTTAACAGTGAGACACAATAATTTGACACACTCAAACAGATTTCCCAACAAAACATGTACATCGAAACGTCAAATTTTTCGCAAGTTTGTGGGAATGAATGTCACAGATGCTCATCCGCGTCTGGTAGGTTCACAATTTGTTGTCTAAGTGATGAATGTTGAGCGGAACGCGACGGGGGTGCGCGCAGATTTCATGTTGTGACTTGTCGTAACTTGTATAAACTGCGATTGACGACGCCGGGTTTTGAAACAGCGGTTGACAGAATAAGTGAATATGATATTTAAGTTCTAATTTTATGCGTGTAAATTAAACATTACATTGTAATGTTATTTGTTAATATTGGTTGCTTATTTGTTTTGTTTTTTCTTTCTAAAATGTAAACGCTTTCCGCCCCCTTGACATCAATCTATGCCCCCCTTGGTAGGCGCGCCTCCCTGGTTGGGAACTCCTGGAGTAGATTGATTTAGCACTTATGTCGCATTGATGTACAACAGACGCGAACTGACAAACTGACATAAATCAGAAACACGGACTTGTGTGAAGAATATATCTTCAAGCAATAGAAAACTTGTGACTGACGTTCGAATATTATCGCGAGTTTAATACTACCATCGTTTAGGTAGTCGTAGAGTTTGAAAATTGATTCATTGGCGGCGGATCAGTGATATACTATGCACATGCTAGACAATTAGTTACACATATTTTCCCTACATCTGCCGTGGAAACAGAAGTATCATAGATTTACTTTGTGTAGCTTGATATGTAGAGGCTGATTCATTGTACCTTGGTGTAGGTATCTACCTAATCACTATTTGACGTCTCTTTTGAAACGACTTGATTCATCCCTTCTCTTTGATACCTCCAACGAAGGTGTAGGAAGTGTAGAGTCAATCTACTTTACGTTAAAATCAGTGACTCACTAGTCTGACTCTTATTCCTACATTAGATACTTTGAGTTGAAGTCATTAAATATCCTGATGCTCAAAACTATGCTTAATCTTCTTTCATAGGTATACGATTCTGGTTAGTCACGTGAAATTTATTGCCTGTTTGAAGAAATCACGGCGACTAATCTTTTTTAATGACACTCTTATTGTGTTCTAAGTTTATATAGACTTTTAGAAATATTTTCTTACTAGGTCGCGAAGGATTATTGGATATGTTGTAGAAGTTAATTAAACTTTATCCACGAAGTATTATACCAGAAAGTGGTGCTGCGTAAAGATGTGAAAAAGTATTTGAAGCATAATAGATTGATGTTGCGATTTCAGCCTTATAATGTAAATGTAAAAAATGTATATTTTTTTGTAACTGCAGCTATCAGTTGCTATACAGGGTGTCCCAATATTCCGTAGACATAGTACGTCTTTTAAGACTCGAAATAAGAAAAATTGCTTCATTTGTCCGTTAGCGGGCGCCAAAATTTTCTTTTTAAAAAACATTTTTGCAAATTTCCCGATGTGTATGATTTTTTCTATTAATCACATCTTTTTGTTTAAGTAATTTTTGTCTCCTATAAAAACATGCTAGTTTTAGAGAAATAAAAATCAGGTGCAACAAGAGGTTCCCAAGTGTCTTATTAATTCTTTAAAAGTAGTTAGCCAAAATAAACAGTTATTATAATATTACTTATTACAACTTTATTCAGTACAAGCCATAGTGCGGATCTTTCATTAAAAGGTGTCCCATGATCACCAGATAAGAACATTTTTCAGAAACCAGCTCCAAACAAACTTTTTTCCTCGAAAACTATTCGAGATGGTCTGTTTTTATGAGAGACAAAAAAAATTAGTTATTGGGAGAGTTACGAAAAAATTTTACTATAATTGTGAGGTGGGGGTAGTTTTCACCACTTTCGAACCCTTCCGGGTTTTTAGTAAAAATCAAATACCTGGACGTCTGATATATCGCATGTGTTCTAAATTTCATTCAAATCGGACTATAGGTTGTTCCAACAATATCTGAAAAAATGTGTTTTTACGCCCGCGAAATCGTTTTCAATTGACTTATTTTGAGTCAAAAAATACATGGTACAATTATTCTTTAAACACAAGGGTCTTGATCAAAATCTTGAAACAGCTGAAAACATGCAATTATACTAAGTGACATATAAATTCGAACACCCAGTTTAAATGGTTTTATTTTAATAAAAGTTGGTGAATGTATTTATCTTACTGTAAATAACAAGTGAAACAATTTTCAGCCTTATCAGTTGGACATTCCGGTTTTTATACTGCTTTTTTTTAATTCACTAACGCTCTAAAAATGAATATTTCAGCCGCAGTAAAGAATCAACGTTGGCGGATTTTGGTTCTTGACTTCCTTTACAATCGGTTACGATGCCTAGAGTACGGAGACCTGTACGATTTCGTCAACTTAGTGAGTTTGATAGGGGCCGTATAGTGGGACTTCGGGAAGCTGGACTTTCTTTTCGGGCAATTGCAGTTAGAGTGCAAAGAAGTGTAGACACTGTGGTTAGGTGTTGTCAGGCATGGCTTCGAGAAGGCCGTACGCAAAGAGCAAGGGGCACTGGACGCCGCCGTAAAACAACAGACCGTGAAGATCGCCGCCTAAGATTATTGGCCTTAGGGGACCGTTTCTCCACTACCAGATCCATTGCAAATGAATGGTTTGCAGAACACGGAAGACCTATTGGCATGCGAAGTGTTTACCGACGAATGGGAATTTTTGGCTTGTTTTCATACCGGCTACACTGGGTCCTCCCTTTAACTCGAGAACACCGACGTAATCGCCTTGAGTGGTGCAGACAACGGTCACTCTGGGATCAGGAATGGAACAGTATTGTCTTTAGTGAGGAGTCTCGATTTTGTTTAGCCATGCACGATGGTCGTGCCAGGGTTAGAAGGCGACGTGGTGAAAGGAGGAATCCACAGTTTTTTGTTGAAAGACATGTTCATCACACTGTTGGAGTTATGGTTTTGGGTGCTATAGCTTATGGTTCCAGGTCACCTTTAATCTTCATCAGAGGTAACATGAACCCGCAGCGTTATATCCACGAAGTTCTAGAACCCCATCTTTTACCCTACCTTGACACCCTGGCAGATCCAACTTTCCAACAAGATAATGCCCGACCACATGTTGCAAGAGTCACAATAGACTTCTTTCAACATAATGATGTCACATTGTTACTATGGCCACCAATATCTCCCGACTTATCCCCAATTGAGCAAGTGTGGAATATGATGGGTAGGAGATTGCTCAATTTGCAACGTCCTCCTCAGACTCTAGAAGCACTTCGAGAGGAGTTGGTGGTTGCCTGGAATGAGATACCACAGGAGGACATTGACCACCTGATTAGAAGCATGCCTAGGCGCGTTGGAGAATGCGTAGCACCTCAGGGTGCATCCACACATTATTAAAGGTCAAAGGGCTTTAAAGCAGTGCAATCATTTTGAAATTTTTATCATTTACTTATTATGCTTCATTAAGTACTTATACAAAATTTTATTAAAATAAAACCATTTAAACTGGGTGTTCGGATTTATATGTCACTTAGTATATTAATAGGATAACATCATACCACAAATCATTTCCATGCTTTGCATCACTGTGAAGCGTCAAGCTCATGGCTCTAAATTGCTGTACGATATATGTATTCCGAGAGGTAATAAAATCTTAATATATATCCTTCATTTAAATGCGGAATTTAATATTCTGTGAGTTTTTTAAGGGTTCTTATAATCCCTTAAAATTTTCCGTGATACCGATAGAGTTTTAACTTAAAGAGAAGTCGTTTGGAATATGAATCTAAGGTATCGACTATTCAAACTTCTTGTTGGAGTATATTTTGGCATCCATTTTCATTTTTACCTCCTATGTCACTCGACGAAGTAGTATTTGCGAAAAATTTCGAAATTGAGATATTATAGCTTTTGGATGTTATATGACATGTACGAGAAACCATGTTACTGATTTCTGTCGTTTTGTCTGTATGTGGGTCTGCCTGTTCGCTAATCCTTGAACCGCCTAATTTTCACACAAGGTTACAACTATGCCAAGGATAAAAAAGCTTTGTAGTTTTTGAAAATCGGTACATAGTCTAATCATATTAGACGAAAATACCCCTGGTTTGCAAAATAATTGTAAAGTCTGGTTTTATTCATGCAAGTTGTTCAAGGGGGTATTTAAATCATGGACGCATAAAATGGGTACACCAATTTTTGTGGGAAAACTTTTTATTCGACAACAAAGAATGAGAAAACGTGTTTTTTGGGATTCAATCGGAAGTGTTTTGCAGGAACGAAAAAACTCTTCAAATAAGAAGAAGGAATCAGTCAACAGGTCTTGATTTTTATTATGCATCCCGATAGTACGTGGCCATACTTTTCGTATCAAATTGTCAACGTTTGAGAATAAAGGTCATGTCCCTCACATTTGACAGCGGGCAATCATTATTATACAGGGTGTTTCAGTTCATTGTTGCATAACTTTAAGATTCGATAGAACTTTTAAAATTAATGCATAAAGTCTATATAAATATGGGTCGAAAAATGCGTGGCTTCCGAAATACAGGGTTGTTTAAATTTACTTTCTAAAATAGTTTTTTTTTTAAATATTTCGAACAATATTTGATGCATAACAGTGAAAAGTGGTATACAAGGGTTTTTTGGTA